GGGGGAAGGAATTTACACTAACTCACTTTCGTAGGAATCACGGTTGTTTTTAACATAAACAACAAGCCATTTAAACCTCAAAGTCGCCAATGAGGACGAGTATGCTCTCGTGGGGGTTTCCAAAGAGTTTAACCCACAACTCTTGGCGACATGCTCAAGGCAAACCAAAACAAAGGAGCAAATAAAGAAGAAAATCAACTACAAACAAGCATAGATGGATGACAATCTTTCTAGGTACTAAGAGTAAACACATTTTTGGATGCCAATGGTTGATTGAAAGATAAGTTATTCTAAGCATAGAGAACTCTAATATGCTCCACTCCACCCGCATTCCATACATTCTTACCGCGTTCCCTCATCTGGATTCAAATCCACCCTTCAAGGTAGTATCTCATGACTCCATGAAGGAGCCGGAACAAATGAAACAAGGGTGACCCGACATCTTACCAAGTCATGCTCTCTCCATATGCTTGAAATCTAGATCCCTCCACCGACTAGTGACTCAACCAATCCAAGTTAAAAGGACTTAGGGTTGTAATGCAGGCTAGGAGGTAAGGGTGAGAAAAGAAATAAATAAATAAATAAATAAAATAAAATAAGTATAAATGAAAATTTGGTGGTAAATCCTAATTGTGAAGCAGAAGATGTCGCCAATTCTCATAACAAAGTAGAATATCACCAATTTCCAAACAAAATACATCTTCCCCCAAGCTTATTCAGCACAAACTCACAAAAGTATATACAAAATGCGTACAACCTCTCCCCCAAGCTTGAAATGAGCAGTGCCCTCAATGCTCAAACTATATACCTTTTTTTTTTTGTTTTTTTTTTTTTTTTTTTTTTTTTTTTTTAGAGGAACTTCCATTGTCCTTGCTTGTTATTTCAAATTCCACACCATCACCTTGCAACTTTCCGATTTTAAATCATTACAAACTATCATGTCTCAAACTTCACAAGTCATTGGGCGAAAAGTGAAACAAAAGGTCATGGGGTTTGAATGTGTTTATGAACAAAGAGGTGCAGGCTCAATCATGGCTAGCAAGGGGCAAACGCAAAAAGAAAAAAAAATATAATTTATCAAGAAGCAACAAAAGGAAAGATAAACCTAGAAAAGCAAAATAGTCACCGAAGAAAATGCTTTTATCGTCCTTAGATATAGTTCGGTCGCGATCTCGGGTAGCTAGACAACAAGTTCTCGATCGAAGCATGCCTTGGTAAGGATCCTAAGCCGCTCATACAATAAGTGGTGGGGGCTTGAACAATAAATCTGACATGGGTTACAAAAACTACCTTTAGGGCTTTAAATCCCCCAAAGAGGGCAACGCCATCTTACCACAAACAAGTGAATTTGGGTTCGGTGGGCCTGAGAATGATTGATTTATGAAGGTGGAAGAAGATGATCTTGGCTATGGTGGTGAGGAGCGGCCGCAAAGAGAGAGAAAGGCAAAGAGGGTTTGGTTTATGTTTGTGAGGATTTGGAAATTGTGGGAATATAAGAAGCCACCGTATTTTTTTTTCTGATAACCAGAAAGGCGCGCCCGCTCCCGATTAAGGCGCGCCCGCTCCTTAAAGAAAACGCGAGCCGCTCCTATATCGCGCCTAAATCGCTCCAACTTCCTGGAAATCAGAAAAACTACAGCACGCCCGCGCTAATAATAGACGCGCCCGCGCCTTCTTTAAAACGCGAGCCGCTCTGCAATCGCGGCCAAATCGCTCCTGCCTCCTGGAATGGAAGTAATTTTCAAGCGTATACCAGGCGCGCCCGCGAAGAAACCAGGCGCGCCCGCGCCTTACTGCTCATGCGGGCCGCGCTTCAGCCGCGATAAAATCGCTCCCACTCCCTGGAATTGGAGAATTTACATTCACTAAAACGGCGCGCCCGCGATGAAACCTGGCGCGCCCGCGCCTTACTGCTGTTGCGGATCGCGCTTCAGCCGCGATAAAATCGCTCCATCTCCCTGGAATTGGAGAAATTTTCATTCATAAAAATTGCGCGCCCGCGACGAAACCAGGCGCGCCCGCGCTTTAATGCTGCTGCGGATCGCGCTACAGCCGCGTTCAAATCGCGCTGAGGTTCTGTTTCTTTAGAATTCATCCGAGCACAAATTTCAAAATTCCTCTCTTTTTTAATTTTTCTGCTTTGCTCTTGCCTTTCTTTCCTCGTGGACACACGCAATCACGCCTGCATCAGAATTGATTGGGAAGAGCGTTAGGTGGATTAGTTCAAGCGATTTGAAAGAAAATAAAATCAAAGAGGTTAGAAACCGGGTTGCCTCCCGTAAGCGCTTCTTTAACGTCACTAGCTTGACGTACTTCACACGGAATCATGGTGATTTGGAAACATCAATGAGAGATAAATTTTCTGGCTTCTCAATTAGCTGACCCTCATAGTATGGCTTGAGACGCTGCCCATTCACTTTGAACGGAGGGTACTTGTCATTGAAAATCTCAACCGAGCCATAAGGAAAGGTTTTGGACACTTGAAATGGACCGCTCCATCTAGATCTCAATTTCCCGGGGAAGAGCTTGAGTCTTGAATTGTAGAGCAGGAACTTTTGTCCTTCCACAAATTCCTTCTTGGAAATTCGAGCATCGTGCCATGCCTTGGTTCTTGCTTTGTAGAGGCTTGCACTGTCATATGCATTCATTCTCAGCTCTTCCAACTCATGAAGCTCTAGAAGCCTTTGCTCACCCGCACTGTGGAGATCAAAGTTGATTTGCTTGATTGCCCAATGCGTTCGGTGCTCCATCTCTACGGGTAAATGGCAATTCTTCCCATAAACAAGCTTATAGGGGGTAGTCCCTATAGGAGTCTTGAAGGCGGTCCTATATGCCCACAATGAATCAATGAGCTTACTGGACCAATCCTTCCTTGTTCTAGCAACAGTCTTCTCTAAGATGACTTTTAACTCCCTATTTGTGACCTCCGCTTGACCACTTGTTTGGGGGTGGTAAGCAAGGCCTCGCTTGTGAGATACACCGTACTTTGAAAGAAGCTTGTTGAATGCATGGTGCTTGAAGTGTGAGCCTCCATCACTTATGATTTCCTTAGGAACACCGAATCTTGGGAAGATGACTTTCTTGAACAAATTGATGACCCTCCTTGAGTCGTTGGTGGGAGATGCCACGGCTTCCGCCCATTTGGAGACATAATCAACGGCAACTAGAATGTGCCGGTTTCCTTGGGATGAGATGAAAGGGCCCATGAAGTCAATTGCCCAAACATCAAAGATTTCAAGTTCAAGAATAGGATTTTGGGGCATCTCATCGCGCCGTGATATGTTCCCTGTCCTTTGGCACCTATCACAAGTCTTAACAAATTGCCAAGCATCTTTGAATAGAGACGGCCAAAAGAGCATACATTGCAAAACCTTGGAAGCGGTCTTTTGAGCACTCATATGACCACCACAAGGGGATGAGTGGCACATTGAGAGCACATCTTGGAATTCTTCATTAGGAACACATCTTCTCAAGAGTCCATCCACCCCTCTCTTCAACAACATGGGGTCATCCCATATATACTTCTTTGCTTCATGCTTGAGCTTTCTATGTTGTTGAGGAGTGAAATCCGGAGGTATGGCACTACAAGCCAAGTAGTTCATAATATCCGCATACCAAGGCTCCGATTTTGCCTCAAGAGCATATAAGACATCATCCATTAGGGCATCTTCAATTGGCAAATCGTCTTCATGTATTCTTGCAGCTCCTAACCTAGAGAGGTGGTCCGCCACCACGTTCTCGGCTCCCTTCTTATCTCTCATTTCGTAATCAAAATCTTGAAGGACCAACACCCATCTCAACAACCTCGGTTTGGCCTCCTTCTTACTTATCAAATATTTGAGAGCCGAGTGATCGGTATACACTATTGTCCTAGAACCAATGAGGTAGGTTCTAAACTTCTCAAATGAGTGGATAACCGCCAAAAACTCTTTTTCGGTAGTTGTATAATTTCGTTGGGCATCATTGAGAGTCTTGGACAAATAGTATATAACGTGAAGTTTCCCATCCTTTCTTTGTCCCAGAACCGATCCAATGGCCCCGTCGCTTGCATCGCACATTAGCTCGAATGGTAGAGACCAATCCGGTCCTCGGACTACGGGGGCGGTGCAAAGGGCCTTTTTCAACCTGCAAAATGACTCATGACAAGCTTCATCAAATACAAATTCTTTATCCTGTTGCAAGAGAGATGTGAGAGGCTTAGCAATCAAAGAGAAATCTTTGATGAAGCGGCGGTAAAAGCCGGCATGACCAAGGAAGGACCTCACTTCTCTCACATTTGTGGGAGGAGGAAGCTTCTCGATCACATCAACCTTCGCACCATCGACTTCGATGCCCGCTTGGGAGATTTTATGGCCAAGAACAATGCCGTTTTCCACCATGAAGTGGCATTTCTCCCAATTGAGCACTAAGTTGGCACTCTCACACCTTTCTAAACAACGAGATAAATTCATTAGGCACTGCTCATACGTGCCTCCACCAACGGAAAAATCATCCATAAAAACTTCCATTTCTTCCTCGATCATTTCACTAAAAATTGACATCATGCATCTTTGGAAGGTGGCCGGGGCATTACAAAGACCAAAAGGCATCCTACGGTAAGCAAAAGTTCCGTAGGGACAAGTGAAAGTGGTCTTTTCTTGATCTTTTGGGTCAATTGGGATTTGGAAGAATCCCGAATAACCATCAAGAAAGCAATAAAAAGCATGCTTTGTAAGCCTCTCAAGCATTTGATCGATGAACGGTAATGGAAAATGGTCTTTGGAAGTGTTGGCATTTAATTGGCGGTAATCAATACACATGCGCCAACCCGTAACAAGCCGAGTTGGGACCAATTGTTGCTTATCATTGATCATTACCGTCATACCTCCCTTTTTCGGCACTACTTGAACCGGGGATACCCAATCACTATGAGCGATTGGATAGATGATCCCTGCTTCAAGTAGCTTGGAAACTTCCTTTCTCACAACCTCTTGCATGGAAGGATTAAGTTTCCTTTGCCGTTACCTACACGGCTTAGCACCCTCCTCTAAATCGATCTTATGCATGCATAGGGAGGGGCTTATACCTTTGAGATCATCAAGAGTATAACCCAAAGCCTTCCTATGCATTTTCAAAACATTAAGCAATGAGGAGGTTTGCTCTTCCGTGAGGTTAGCATTGATAATGACCGGAAAAGTATCATTAACATCCAAAAAGACATACCTCAAGCCCGAAGGTAGAGGTTTCAATTCTACCTTCGGAGCTACCTTACCATTGGAGATTTCCTCCTCTTCTACTTGGAAGACTTCATACGGTTGGGGCATCTCTTGGTCGGGGGTTGTCTCTTCTTTCTCATCAAGCATTTCCTCATATAATTGCATCTCCTTTTGATCACCTACCTCATTCTCATTCAACAAAACATTCTCAAGTAGATCATTAGAAGCATGCATATAAGGGTATCTAAACTCATTCATCAAGTTTTCAATTGTATCTATTCTATAACATTCATTGTCAGAGGAAGGTTGTCTCATCACCTTATTCAAATCAAATTCGATAGAATCATTGTCAACCTTCAAGGTCATCTTGCCTTCTTTGACATCAATAATTGCTTTAGAGGTAGCTAGGAATGGCCTACCCAAGATTATAGGAATTCTTTCATCTTCATCCATTTCAAGAACATAAAAGTCCACCGGAAAAGTGAACTTACCGACTCTAAGGGGTATGTCCTCTACTTTCCCTATAGGCAATTTTGTGGACCTATCTGCTAATTGGAGGGTGATGTTTGTAGGTGAAAGGTTTCCCACATTAAGCTTTTGGTAGACCGAGAAAGGCATTAAACTCACACTAGCACCTAGGTCACACAAAGCTTTCCCCAAATGAACTTCATTGATAGAACAAGGGATGGAAAAAACTACCGGGATCTTGCAATTTAGTTGGTAGCTTACTGGAGAGAATAGCACTACAATTTGCGGTTAAGCTAACGGTTTCAACTTCTCTCCTTCCATTCAGGAGGTCTTTTAGGAATTTAGAGTAGTGTGGCATCTCTTTCATAGCATCCACAAAGGGTATAGAAACATGCAAGCTCTTTACTACATCTAAAAATTTTCCAAATTGAACATCAAGCCTAGACCTAGCAAATCTTTGGGGAAAAGGCAACCTCTCATTCCTAGGTTGGAGATTAAGGGGTAAAGATGTTTGATCTTTGGTGCTCTCCTTTTCGAGTTCCTTCTCTTTCTCTTTCTCACCCCTCTCATTCTTTCCGGCACTTCCCTCTAGAATCTCATTCTTTCTTGATGATTCATCCTCAACCTCAAGTCCTATCCTCACATCGGGACTCTTCTCAACATTTAGTTCACTCTCAAGGATCTTCCCACTTCTAGTAGTAATGGCATACATAGACTTGGGGTTGACACCTTGACTAGGTAAAGAAGAAGATGAAGAAGGGGAGGATGAAGAACTTGGTTGGGCAATTTGAGAGATTTGGGTCTCAAGCATTTTCATGTGTGCCTTGATTTGTTTCTTTTCTTCCTCTTGACTCTTATTATGGTTTTCTTGATTTTTAATGAAATTTTGAAGCATAGCCATCATAGGATCAGGAGGGGCTTCTATTTGGAGGGGTTGAGTAGGGGGAATTTGAGAATGGGGCCTTACTTGGTCAAAACCGGGGGGTCTACTATTTTGTGAGAAAGTAGAAGCATTTTGAGGTCTATTACCCCCGGAACCCTGATTGGAATTAAAACGTTGTTGGTTGTTGGAATAGTGTTGTTGGTTTTGATTCCAATTGGGTCTTTGGTTTGAGTAACTTCTTCCATTGTAATTGGAAGAGTTTCCCCTACCTTGGCCTTGGTTATCATAACCACCACCACTTTGATTCCATTGACTTTGATTCCAACCTTGGTTTTGATTCCAACTACGGTTTGGGTTTTGATTCCAATTTGGTCGCATTCCATTATTTCCCTCACGGGGCACAAAATTCATGGCATTAACATCTTCAACATTATCATCATTTTCATGGGGAGGGGGACCTTCACTTATGGACATACATTGTTGAGAATTATGATCATAGCCTCCACATATATCACAAAACATACAACCAGGAGGCATGGCATTGTAATTAGAGGGAGAAGAAGTAGAAGGATTCATACCATGGCCTCCCTTGGGAGAAGGGGAGGAAGCATTTTGGGAACTTGATTTCATGAACTCCTCCATTTGTTTCGCCATCTTTGCCATTTGGTTGGAAAGATTTGTGATGGCATTGGTTTGCTCGACGGAATGTACCGTTCCTTTGCTAGAAGTGGCTTCCCTCTCACCTTCGTACCAATCCTCATAATTGCGCACAACTTCTTCTATGATACTCTCCACTTCATCTTCCCTTTTGTTCATGATTGGGCCTCCGGCTCCGGCATCAAGGCTAGTCTTACTTTGAGGGGAGAGTCCTCCGTAGAATGTTTGGAGAACTTGCCAATTAGGAATCCCATGGTGTGGGCATTGCCTTTGTAATTCTTTGAATCTCTCCCATGCCTCACAAAGAGACTCTCCACCTCTTTGGCGGAAACTTTGAATCTTTGAGCGAGCCTCGGCGGTTTTCTTGTGATTGTAAAACCTTCCTAGGAACGCCGTAGTTACCTCATTCCAAGTCGTGAGGGAACCGGGAGGAACATCCTTGTTCAACCAATGTTCCGCCGCTCCCATGAGTGAGAACGGAAACATCTTCAATCTTATGTACTCTTGGGACACCCCGTTGATCTTGATAGTGTCACAATACTTGAGAAATTCTTTGAGATGCTCATGGGGATTCTCAAATTTCCCACCGGTAAATTGCCTCTTCTCTATCATTGAAATGAAATTAGGCTTTATCTCGAAATTGTTCGCTTGAGTGGTGGGGGCTAAGAAAAATTAAAATAAGAAAAAGAAAAAGAGGGAACAAACTCATTTAGTTGCATTTTGGAAGGTGAATAGCAACCAAATAAGAAAGCTCAAATATTTTTGGAATTTCCCCTTTTTTTTTTCCTTTTTTTTTTTAAACAAAAAAAATAAACAAAAAGAAAAGAAAATATTCGCAAAGACCTAGACTCAATAAGGTAATACAACAATAATGGAAGCCGTCCCCGGCAACGGCGCCATTTTGACAGGCGGTATTTTAGGTCATCACTAAGACACCTCTATCAAATGATATTTGTAGTCCTAAACATGCAACTAAAAGAGTATAGAGGCAAGTTAAGGGTCGAACACAGGGAAACGATTAAGCACCGCTATTTATCTCCTAATGTTAATCTAATTCGATCAAGAAGTGTGGTGGGTAAAGTAATGACTAAAGGGGATAGAACAACAATTAAAATAGGTACTAGGGGGAAGGATCAAACATGCTTTGATTTCAACGAAGTTAGGCATCGGAAAATAGGTTTACATGTAACCCAAGCGACTCATACAAGGCAATATCAAGAATACTCTCCAATCACCTATCGGGATTAAGAGCCTTCCTAGCTAACATACGCTCACACTATCGTCGTAAGGCATAAAAGCTAAGGTCATGCAATAATCAATCACCTAATGACTATTCCTAAATCGCACTATCGTCACGATTTAGTTCACGTCATTCAACCACAACATGCATATGGCCATAAACATGGAGTGACTAATAGGTATAAGCACAAGGAAGATTTAATCACAAATATTCCAAATTAACCTAGCCTAACATACATCAAACTCAAAGTATATCTTCACCAAACCCCTAGCAACAAGAAACTACTCACTAGTCATAACTACAACTACAATCATGCTAAGCAACATTATAACCAATGAAATGGTAAGAAAGACAAAGTTTTTATCAACTAAATTAACAAGAGTAGAAGCTTTAATCATAAAAGCAAGAGACAATAGAGAAATATACCAAAACCTTCATTGAAATCCAAATAAAGAGCCACGCATCATTCAATCTTCAATCTCCAAGCTTGACCATACATCAATGTTGCAAAATTACTTCTTCAAAAACTAAAAGTAAAACTAATGTTGATAGACAATGAGAATTACACTAAAAGCTATATGATTGTTCAATACAAAATTTCTCTATCAAAGACCTAGGAATTCCTATTTTTGAGCTCTCCCCTTGGGTTTCTATGCTGGCTTTTTTTATCTTTTTTCCCCCCTTTTAACTTGGGCTGAAATCGGGATTTGAATCAGCAGCAGAGAGGCGCGCCCGCGCCCAACAGTGGCGCGCCCGCGCGTTAAATGATGGCGCGGCCGCTCCTAGAAATGCGCGCCCGCTCCAAAGAGGGTATTTAATGGTTGATCCCGCTCATCAGCGCGCCCGCGCTCTATAGATGCGCGCCCGCTCCTTTGGTTGCGCGCCCGCGCCATTCGTCTGGTTTGGACTTCTTCCTGTTTTGCCCTTATCCCTTCCATCTCTAAATCAACAGCATACGCCTGCAATCATGGAACAGGAAGGCAAGGCGTGATACAACGAAAGGGGAGGGGAGTATAGACTACCTAAACCACATGAATACACATTACGCGCCACAAAGGTAGAATACTCGAAATAGGAGGATCATAGCAAAAACATACTAAAATGAACTGAATTATTACTAAAACTACTAGAAAAGACTATCCTAAGAGCGACATAAATGTCACTCATCAATAAGGCTCAAATTGTTCCCTTTTTCCCTCATAAGGCGAGCTTTGGAATGATTGGACTAGGAGGTCAAGCCGAATTCTTTAAGAACATGGGACGATGTTACCAAAGGATTCTTATCCCGTTTCTACCCTCAAAAGAAAACGGCGGAAGTTAGAACTTTGATCCAAATTTTCAAGCAAAGGCCTAATGAAAATCTTTATGAAGCATGGGAGAGGTACAAAGAGTATCAAAGAGAGTGCCCTCACCACGGAATCCCAACTTACCAAACAATTCAAATTTCTATGGTGGTTTGAGTCCTCAAGGTAGGTCGAGCTTAGATGCCGGAGTCCGAGGCCCAATCATAAACAAGATGATGGATGAGGTTGTTGATGTGATAGATGATGTAGTGAGGAACTACATGAGTTGGCAAGAGGTTGAGGAAGAGTCAACAAACGAGTGTGCCATCAACAAATTGTCTACTCTACTTTCGGACTTAGGGAAGGAGGTGGCTTCTATCAAAGCTAAGCTTGAAAATTCATCTTCACAAGCATAAGTTCTTCCCTCCCAATTTCAGGGGAGAGGTACACCCTCTTACTCTAACCCTCTTTTCACTTCTTGTTGCATGATTAGAGAATGTTTGGCTTGTAATTTATGTAGAAGAAATGATCATGATGCTTCTAATTTTCCAAATGTTCCTTGTGATGGAAGTGATGAACACGATGAAAATGAAAATTTGCATGTGAATTATGTTAGAAATAGTGGTTTTGGATCTAGAGTTAATGCTCAAAAGAATGTTGGAAATAGGAACTATCACAACCATGGGAGCTACGATAATTATAACCAAAATAGTGGTTATAGGAACCAAGTAACCCAAGGGTTTTGTGGTAACCATAACAACTTTGGTTGTAATGATCAAAGCTACGGCAAAGAATATGGGGATCATAACCAAGGTTATGGTAATCATAGTCAAAATTCCGGCAAAAAACTTGATAAGGGTAATTGGAGTGACCAAAGTAGAGGAAATTTTCAAAATGATGCTCAAAGGGCTTCCTCACCCAAATTTACTCCAATAACTCAATGCCAAAGTGATGATTCCTATGATCAACAATCTCAATTTATGAGTAAGCTAACTAATTTAATGGTAGATCAAGCCAAGAAGTTGGACGGTTACATAGCCTCTAATGACGAAATGTTTCATGGCCTATTAACTCATGGAAAGATGCTTAAGAACCACATTGTTCAACTAGCTAACCCTTTGAAAGGTTATGCTAGCCCATCTTCTTTACCCTCACAAGAAATTTATCCTAAGGAACCGGTTTGTCCTATCACCAATAGGAGTGGTAAGGTCCTTGAAGAGAGTGTTCCTAGGAAGAGTAAGGAGGGTGAAGAGGGGAGTGATTTGAGCAAAGAGAATAAGAATGAAGAGTCTAGTAAGATGAGTGAGAAATCTAATGAAGAGCCAAAGGAGAAAGAGAAGAAGGAAGATGAGGTTTACAAGCCCAAACTTGCATACCTCCAAAATTTCAATAGGTACAAATTGGATGAGCAATTTGGACAATTCATTGAGATGCTGAAGAAAATTCATCTTTCTATTCCTTTCACCGAAGTCTTGGAACAAATGCCAAACTATGCAAGGTTTCTTAAGGAAATTTTGAGCGGTAAAAGAGATTGCAATATGATGGAACCGGTGAATTTGGTGGAGTGTTGTAGCGCCTTTGTCCATAATAACTTACTCCAAAAGTTGAAAGACCTCGGGAATTTCTCCGTCCCTTGAAAAATCAAAGGAAAATTGTTCCAAAATGCCCTTTATGATCTCGGGAATTTCTCCATGCCTTATTCCGTCTTCAAGAGACTTAAGATTGGTGAGCTCCTTCCATCCAATATTACCCTTCAATTAGCCGATAGATCCATCATGTTCCCAAAGGGAAGAGTTGAGGATGTTCCCCTTAAGATAGGAGAATTCACAATTCCCGTTGATTTCATTGTGCTAGGGATTGCGGAAGATGACCACATTCCTATCATCTTAGGGAAACCTTTCTTAGCCATCTCGGGAGCTTTGATCGATGTTAAGGGAGGGCGAATTACATTGAGAGTTGGTAATAATGAGGAAAGTTTCGAGCTAAAACCGATGTATGAGTCTTTATCCCTTGTGAAAGGAATCAAGAGTGATGTTTCCCTTCGTTATTTTGATAATGTGTATGTGATTGATTCTTCATCTAATAATGTTCATGATATTTTTGATGATTTGCTTGGGAGTTTTGATTGCATGAAAGTTAGTGAAGAAAAGAAAGAGCTTCAAAAGACTATGAAAGAAGAGGAGATCGCCATTCCTCATTGGTTTGAGCTCTACCCTCAAGAGGAAGAGGAGGATTCCATGGAGGGAGATGGTGTGAAACCGTCTACAAAAAGAAAAAAATCAAGAAAAAATCAAGAGCTTTGAAGAAGAAGAGAATGAGATTGAAGATGAGAAATGAAAAGATGGTTTTTGATGTGAAAGCTAGTGAAGTTTTGTCAAGCAACAATGAGAGGTTGCTTGAAAATGAAGGAGAAGTTTTTCTTTCCGCCACTTTGAAGAAGGTGGTGTTCTTTGACCCTCCGTGATTTGGAGGAAGGGTCAAGCTAAGGACCTTAAGCAAGCGCTTTCCGATAGGCAACCCGGAGATTTCTAACCTTTTCTTTTGATTTCAATTTTTCTTAATTTTTCTTAATTTTATTTCTTTTAGTTTCTTTTATTTTATTTCACTTGTTTTTACTTTGGTTTTATAGGTTGAATTCTTGGAGTTGGATTACATCAAGTGGAACGAGCTATGGAATGTTATTTTGCGGTTTTGATGTGTTTTAAGTTCAATTTTATTGAAATTTTAAGGTAAAAAGGGTAAGAATTGTTAGGAAGGTAAGTTAGGAAATTTGTGCTTAAGTTTGAAGAAATTAGAACTTCGTTAGTTCATCGTGGTGCTACCATAATTTGGGGTGTTAAACCCAAATTTTTCATATTTAGAAACTGATTGTTATGCCGGGGTCCAAAATCCCGGAATGATATTTATCGATGTACCCAAATGAACGCACAAAGGAGAGAGGCAAGAAGAAAAACAGGTGGCGCGGGCGCGCCTAGCCCCTACGCGGCCTTGCGCGACACTGGCGCGGGCGCGCTGCCACGCTGCACGGCCGCGCACCCCCTGCCATGTATTTCTTTTTCTTCTTTCTTTTCCCTCATTTCCCCTTCACC